TCTCTCTCTCTCTCTCTCTGTTTTCTTTGCAATAATCGTTGATTTATAATGTAATTCATTGAATGACTCTTAAGGTACGGATGCGGCCAAAGGCAAAGTGGGTTTCATTGTGGGCCGACACAGTTGGGAGGTCTGGTGGGAGGGCCCGCTCGGCGTAAGTATTGTCACAACTAATAACGGTATCAATTGATGTGATAACCATATAACGCCATTACACAGACGGTGGCAGTTGTGGGTATCGCCACCAAAGAGGCATCGGTACAGAGCGCCGGTTACGTGGCTTTGTTGGGCGCCAACGCCGACAGCTGGGGCTGGAATCTGGTGGACAACAATCTGATCCATAACGGCGACTGTCACGGCAATTACCCCCTACTGAACAACGCGCCCAAATACCAGACGGGCGAACGGCTTCGGGTGATACTGGACTGCGACGACAATACTCTGTCCTTTGAGCGCAACTACGAGTTCTTAGGCGTGGCCTTCAGGGGTCTGCCCAATAAGCCGTTGTATCCGTCGGTGTCCGCCGTTTACGGCAATACAGAGGTCTCGATGGTATACCTCGGATACCCGTTTGATGGGTAGGTCTGGTCCCCTGTGATGGTTGACTACGCGATGGTTGACTGTCCGATATGTCTAGTGGACAGCACCCGATGTTGTCCGTCACGTCCGATACTTATTGAGCACTCATTTTAAGCTTTATTTATATTTTTCAATTGATATTTAAATGCATTTAAAATCTCATATCTATATACCATTGATAATTGAAAATACTCTACAACTCAATCATTCACTCATCTATTTATTTAATTAATTAGTAATTAATTATTTATGAAGTATTTATATATTAGAAACTTATTGTTATTTTATATGTAATTTTTACACCGATTCTAGTCTTAATTTATTTAAATTAATTGTGAAATTAGTTTTATTTATTTTACAAATTTTGATTTACAAACTTGTGATTTATTATTACAAACGCATAGATATCCTATTTATTAATTTATAGTATTATTTAATTGTATTTAAACGAGTTAAAACTCCATCATTGAGGCGTGTGTTTAATTTAAATTTATTAATATTAATAAAATTAATATAATTATAAATTATTAAAAATTAAATATATTATTTATTAAATCAATGTTTACAGTCAATAATCATAGATGTGAAACTAAATTACCAACATTCTAGGTAACATTTTATATTTAACTCTATGTTAAACAAATTAAAAATGCACATTTTATTTCAGTAAAGTATTTCAACATATTTTTTACGCTAAATGTTTTGTATTATATTTGATAATAAATTATTTAAATACAAAATTAAATAAATGCAAGTTTATTATACAAATCCCCGACAAATCTAATACTACTGTATTAAATAAATGATTAAAATAATCATGTTTAAATAAATTCAAAGCCCATAATAATAAAATAACCAATATAATTTTTTAGCAACTTTTTAAGAAAAAAAACAATCAAATATAATCATAAATACGTCAATTAATCCGTGCGTTAATCCAATCAATAGTTGAAAAATCCAATACAATATTAACCCATAAAGTTGAACGGAAAGCCCATGTGCGGTGAGGCCACGTTAGACACGGCCCGTTGTTGGCCACCCATTGACATATTGCTGATATCGATGCGTTGATGACAATCCTGTCGATTGCTGGCCGAGTATATGCAATACCCGGTGCCGCCCATTGTGCACATGTTGGCGCTGAACACACCGTTACACCCGTTAACCACAATACCATTCTTCGGCGCCCCGTTGGCCACCGTCGAGCTGATGCGCCAATTGTCTCCTTCCACATACACCCAGCCTTCGCCGCCGATGGCGTTGCCATTGATTACCGTCGAAGTGATCACACCATTGCCCGACTGTTGGCCAGTGGACCGAATCGCTTCGCGACCGGTGCCGCGGATCACGTTATTGCGGAGCTGAACGGCCGGACAGTCGTTGAAGTTGAGGCCA